CCTCCTGCCTTTGTAGAAAAGGAGAAGTTCGTGCCCCACCCCACGGCCCATCCAATGTCCACATTCCTTGAATCTGTAGATACTTATAATGGACTTCAGCTGAACACCTCTGCTTTTATCTTGCCCCAACTGATTATACACCATAACATTCTGTCCAGTGGCTCCTATGAAACCCTTCTGCTTAGAAGCACCATCTAGTGGCTCTGAGTAATCTTTCTGCTATCTCCCCCATCTTGGGCCCATCATTTCCAACAGGATGTTCCTTTCTCCCTTCTGTCATCCTTCCCCATTCCCCACCTTTCCCCTCTGTTTCCTCTTTCTGTTTCCTAGGCCTTACGCTGCTTACACCCCCTCCTTCACACCACCTCCCCTCTGGGTCCTCTTGCTGTATCATTAATGCCTCCTTTGATAAAACCCACAACCTCACGATTATTTGGAGCTCAGGAGTCGCAGGTGCCACGCAGCCTGCTAATGCATCTCAGAGGGCCTCTGTCCCCAATCCCTCCTGCCTGACAAGGCTGGAATCCTAATTTCCCACAAGCCTCCTTGCTTGTTGCAGTATCACCAGGAACTTTCATCCTTTTATTTCCCCCACTGAGGATTCTGAGAGTTCAGCCACAATGAAGCATTGATTCAAGGAGTGGGGGCTGTGGGCCCGACAAAGGGTCCCAAAGATGAGACACGAGAAAGGGGGCGCTCTACGGGGTTATAGAATGCCTCGCAGATGGGAACAGAGGAGCTCTAAATGGGGTACTGTCCTGTTACTTGGAGAGGGAGTGACAGGGGCAAGTGTGGGCCTTTTGAAAGAGGTATTTTGAAATGATGCTCTTGTCAGATGTAACCACGCATTCTGAGCCGCATGGAGGGCCCCTGCAGCTCACAAAATATCAGATGACTCATACCTCAATATTCAGTCAATGTTTGAGAGGTGGAGCCACAAGGCTCTTTATCATTCCTGCCGGGTTTCCTGAAGCCTGGACCTGCTGCTGTTCTCCAGCCTGTAATAGGATTGGTCTCACGAAGCAGAGCCTTGGGGCTGTGTGGGAGGACGGTATTGGGAAAACCAATACTGTGGTCCTGAGGCGAGTGGGAGAAGTTTGTTTTTCTTTCTTTCTTTTTTCTTTTTTCGTTAATAAAATCTAAGAAGAAAATATTAATATTCTTTTTTCATTCATTCTGCAAACATTCGTTCAGCAAACATAGAGCTAGCTAAGCTGCATGCTAGGTGTAGGGGAAGGAAGGCCCCTCCTGCCAAACTTGTAGGTCAGAGGGGTAACTCACAAGGAGGCAGTTACAGCAGAACGCCTTGGGTGTTGTGAGGGAGGTTTTATTGGCAGGTGGGGGATGCTTCTGTGGATTTAACAGGTTGAAGCTAATTACTCCACTATTTTTCTCTCAGCTGATAAGCAACTCATTTAAAGCCAAGTGAGCCAGGCAGTCATTTCAACAGTATCCATTTTCAAATGGATATAGCAAAATGGTTTCTCTCAGACCCCAGAGTGATAGAGACGTCCCAGAGAATGTCTCAATACCTTCAAAGGAAGAGCTTATTCTGGGATATGAGTTCTTTTTATTATTACCTTTTTCATAAGTGCTGTATGCCAGAATTTTCTCAGCACTTTGAATATGTTATCTCAGGAATCCTCATGCCAGACACATGAGATGAGCTTTGTTATACTAATTTTAGAAGAAGATACTGAGGACTCCAGAGGTGGAATGGCTTGTTCCTGGTTCCAGAAGAGACTTTATTTTTCCTTCCTGAATTCAGCTCTACTTGAGCTAGCAGCATCCATGCTCTTCAACCTTAGGCTGCACTGCCTCCCTGCTGACTCCGGTGTTTATGGCTTGGTGATTGTGAGTCATCAGTAGAAATGGCAGAACAGATGGGTTGCTAATGCTTCCCACCACAGGGAGTACTGTGCAAATGGGCTTCTGTTTCCAGTCTCATGAACTACCAGCACCATCATCACCATCAACATCACCACAGCACATGCAGCCCCAAGACAGGTTTTCTTGACTCTGGCTTGATAGATAATGTCAGCAGGTCAGGAGACTTCACTGCTCACTAGTCATATGAATTTGAGTCTATCCTCCTGCCTCTGAGCTTCTGTGGCTATGTCTATAAAATAGACCTGCAATCCCTTTGCATGGATAACATGAGCTGAGCTCTGTCGAACCCTTAATGCCAGCTAAGTTTGGAGTTAGGCTTCACATAAAAATTCATGTAATCCTTACAGCAGTCCTGTGCAGTAGGTGTGATTGGGAAGGTGAAGGAAACAGTCCCATCTCACTTATTCTCATATACAGAAGAGTCAAGATTATATCTCAGACTAACCTTGAATCTCAATTCATTGTCAGGGTGATGGTGTTAGGCTCCAGTGAGAACTGGGAATGATATGCCCTCTTCAGGGTACAAAGTGTTAGACACATATATGGGACTATCTGTAGCATGGGAAAACAGCCAAGCGGGGGTGTGCACAGAAATGAGGAAAGACGAGAGGCCTCCAGGCTGATGGCCTTACGTATTTTTACCGATTCTGCTGCTGCTTCTTATCTGCTTACAGATCTGTCTCCACTGAATTGCTTTAGTGGTTGGAATCTGAATGTAGACACTGGCATCATTTACATTGTGGAGATGCAATGGGGAGGAAATTTAGAGACACAGGTTGCAAGAGAAATACTACCACAGAATTGAGAATGTGGAGCTCTGGAAAAAAGGGAGATGTACTTTTTTTTTTCATGTTTGAGAATCCTCTGTGAGAATCATGTAAGATCATCAATATGGAAGCACTATATGATTTCTAAAAAGGGTGCAAACTGGCTTGTTTTTCTTTTTTTTTTTACTTTTTCTCTTTTTCTTTATTAATTTATTATTGAGCTTTTTAAATTTCATAAAACATTTCCCACTCAAATCCAGAACCCCCGTTCCCATCCCTGCCTATTCGCCCACTGAACCCTATGCACTCTGCCATACATGCTGAGTCCTATTCATTCAGGTGTTTGTACCCAAGTGTCCTTCAGTGTAATGGCTTGTTTTTCTTAAAGTGGTTTGACATGGCATCACTTCATCAGGGAAATGTGTGGAGAACATTAAATCTGCTGATGTAGATTTAAAAAAATAACAATCCTTAGATCTTTCCCATGAATGATTTCTCAGACATTTTTGTCATCCAGAAGGGGTATTTGTGCTTAGATGCTTTTATTTCCTAAGCTAATTTCTTTGCATCTATTGCATAATGGAATGAATAAAGATGGATGGATCCCCAACATTTACTTCACACCCTTTTCCTTAAAGATGAACACAGCAAACATTAGAAGCATAAAGGACAGTGTGAGTCAGCTGTTTTGTGACATCACAAAGGAGTACAATGGAGTTCTTAAAATTTACATTAATTGTATTTCCTATTGTAACTGATTTGCCCAACATTTTTCTTTTGTGCTTGTGTGTGTGAGCGTGTTTATGTGTGCATAGGGTACAAGTATGTGGAAAGGTGCATGTATAGTATAAGCACATGAATGAGTATGTGGAAGGCAGAAGTCAGTCCTGGGTATTGTTCAACAGTCATCCACATTGCTTTCTGAGATGGAGTCTCTCATTGCAACTTGGGGCTGTCCAATTAAGACAGGCAAGTTCAGGGATCTTTCTCTCTTTGCCCTTCCAGCACTGAGGTCACAAGACTATGCTGCCACAATGGATGCTGAGGATGGAATTTGCATTTTTATGCTTATATAACAATCATTTTATCTTTTTTATCAACTGAGTCATCTCCATAATTCATCTTTTTATTATTTGAGTTGCTCCAACTTGCATGGTCAGGGTCATGGAGCACTCACAACCCCACCAAGAGTGGCTAACATTCTCAATTTCTCCTCTTTCCCCCAGGACAATCCAGCAGTGGCTTGCCAGGGTCCAGTCACTTCTTTACTGCAATGAGAATGGGTTCTGGGGAACCTTCCTGGAGAGCCAGAGGAGTTGTGTTTGCCACGGCAGCACCACCCTGTGCCAGCGCCCCATTCCGTGCATCATAGGAGGGAATAACAGCTGTGCTATGTGCAGCCTGGCCAACATTTCTCTCTGTGGCTCATGCAACAAGGGCTACAAGCTGTACAGAGGCCGCTGTGAACCACAGAACGTGGACTCTGAGAGGAGTGAGCAGTTCATCAGCTTTGAGACCGACCTGGACTTCCAGGACTTGGAACTGAAGTACTTGTTACAGAAGATGGACTCGCGCCTCTATGTCCACACTACCTTCATCAGCAATGAGATCCGCCTTGATACCTTTTTTGACCCCCGGTGGCGCAAGCGCATGTCCCTCACTCTCAAGAGCAACAAGAACCGCATGGACTTCATCCACATGGTGATCGGCATGTCTATGCGCATCTGCCAGATGCGCAACAGCAGCCTGGACCCTATGTTCTTCGTCTATGTGAATCCCTTCAGCGGGAGCCATTCGGAGGGCTGGAACATGCCCTTTGGGGAATTTGGCTACCCGCGTTGGGAGAAGATCCGGCTCCAAAACAGCCAGTGCTACAACTGGACTCTCTTGCTGGGCAATCGGTGGAAAACTTTCTTCGAGACTGTCCACATCTACCTACGTAGTCGGACTCGGCTACCTACCCTACGTAATGATACTGGCCAGGGCCCTGTGGACCTGTCAGATCCCTCAAAGAGGCAGTTCTACATCAAGATCTCCGATGTGCAGGTGTTCGGGTACAGCCTGAGATTCAACGCTGACCTCCTTCGTAGTGCGGTGCAGCAGGTCAATCAGTCTTACACCCAAGGAGGCCAATTCTACTCTTCTTCATCGGTGATGCTCCTCTTGCTGGATATTCGGGACCGAATCAACCGCCTGGCCCCTCCTGTAGCCCCGGGGAAACCCCAGCTGGACTTGTTCTCCTGTATGCTGAAGCATCGCCTGAAGCTGACCAACAGTGAGATCATCAGGGTGAACCACGCCTTGGACCTCTACAACACCGAAATCCTCAAACAGTCGGACCAGATGACAGCCAAACTCTGCTAACCCGGGACCCTTCGCCATGGACTTCCCCTTTTGTTGTAAAAACACAACAGAACAAAACAAAGCAAAACAAACGAAACAAAAAATTTGTAAAATGTAATTAGTATTCAAAGGAAAGGAGGAAAATCTTCATTTGTTGGAAACTTAAGTGTTCTAGCAACTGTATAAAACCGTGGGGCATGTCTGTTACTTCTACACTATGTCTTGAGGAAGGGTCTCAGCCTTTTGTGGAGCTTTGAGCTGGTGGCTTCTTAGGCCTCAGGTGCTGTGAGGAGGGGGGAAAGGGGAGAGCATATGCAATGAATTGTAAAGATCTCTGCTGTGCAGGTGCTAAGATTAAAGACTAATAAGAGAGAGAGATTGTAATGTACCACTGACACTGCCATTTTTCCTTGTGGGAGGAAATGGACGTAGATAAAGAAGATATTTCTTCGGTTAAGATTTCTTCCCTCTTTATGCTTAATTCTTTGTGGCTCTTTTGTTTCTCAGACAGGGGTGGGGAGACGTAGCGGCACTGCAATATTACCCATGTGGCTTCTTTCCTTCTCAATAAACTAAAGCTAATGGAAGCTGGCCAATAACAGGTGGGGCTGGGAGAAAATATGGTCACATAATCATAGAACAATAAGTAGTCATAGCTATTAGCTCCTCAGACTCCTTGGTTTAGGAATAAGCTCAAAGGTGAGTGGCATGCTCATGAATACACCCGCAGTAACTGCCTCAATAAGGATTTGCATCTAGCCTTCTGATTCCCTTGACAATATACATTCTTCCTAAGCACTTTGGCCACTTTTGTGTTTTCTGCTCCTACAACTTTGCCAAAAGGTGAAGGATTCTTCTGTTGAAGATTGTGTTTGATAGTTGTTATGTCTGTGTGAAGAAAATTTTACCATCTACTTCCTCCAAAAAGAAATATAGTATAGTGTCATATTTCCTGAAATGGTTTCCATATTAGAGATAAAGTTTTACTTTGAAAAAAACCAATGACCAAACATGAAGATGATGATCATGATGATAATGATGTAAGTTTTAGAATTACATTGGTCTATAACATCTTCCCCAAGTATCTAAAAGAAATCACTATTTTATTAACTCATAATACACATGAACACATGCACACATACCCCACCCACATGCACAAATATAAACAATGCCACATCTTTAGATCTATGAAGGGTGAGAATCCTTGTGAGGGATGCAGATTTACAGCAGAATGAGAGATTCAAGAAAGAAAGCACATCTCAAAGCATTTCCGCAGAAGACATAAGCAGACATTGCTTTTCAGCTTCTCAAAACTCATCATTTGTCTTTCTGGAAGGTGGTGGTTGCAAAAGGTGTTTCTCCACCATCTGGATACTCATTTCTGCGTTTATAGGAAACCGGTTAGTTTCGGTTTCCATTTCCCTCACATTCTTTTTTCAACAAAAGGAATAAGTAACTCCCATTTCAGCTTGGTTACACAGCCTGTATAATGATGAGAATAGCCCTTCATATTTGCCCATTATCCCCACTGGCTCCAGTTCTTCTGAAAGCATTTGTTCCTTATGATACTGTTTCACTATATCCTGGGTAACTCTAGCATCTAGCACCATATATCTTCATCCCTGATGTGCTTTAAAGTGAAAAGGGAGGGCTTTAGTGCATAAAAGGTGAAGAATTACCTAGTTTGTTTAAGTATAGATAAGGGAGGAGACTTTTTTTCTAAAATAGCATATGCTAACTTTAAGTGGCATATGTTTTGTGACTCCTACAACATGCATTGTGTGCATTTTCAGACCTCAACAACTGAGGAAGTTCAGTGTTCTCTCAGTTTAGAAATTCTTCATGCCAACGACCACACTGCAGCTTATCCCCAGAGCACTAGGTTTATCAGAAGTTCAGTGAATCATCAAACATTTTTAAGTATCTTCTAGATGGAGCAAATCAGCAGTATAAATAGTTGTAAGGGAAATGGCCCATGTATTTATGACACTCACAAAGTAATTAAAAAGATAGACGTAGGGGCTGGAGAGATGGTTCAGCATCCACATGGCAGCTACGAACCATCCTTAACTCCAGTTCCAGGGGAATCCGAAACCCTCTGCTGACCTCCTCTGCATTGCACAACATGGGTGCATTCACATACATGCAGGCAATACACTCATACACATAAAAAATACAGACATATTAATGAATGTTTTTTTAAAATAATTACAGAACATCAAAATGAGTGCTACTGTAAAGTCAGACATAGAAGAGGAAATCTTAACCTTGTTCCCACACCTTGAAGTTCCCACACCTTGAGGAAGTCTTAACCCTGTTTCAGGTTTGATAAAGGCTTTATAAAAGGAAAGGAATGGTTTTGTTTTGAATGTTGAGCAGTCATCAAAGGTTGGACAAGTTTAAAAGAACAAGAAGTTCCCACACCTTGAGGAAGTCTTAACCCTGTTTCAGGTTTGATAAAGGCTCTATAAAAGGAAAGGAATGGTTTCGTTTTGAATGTTGAGCAGTCATCAAAGGTTGGACAAGTTTAAAAGAACAAGATGACCAGAGAAACATGAATGCAAACACAAAGGTATAACTGTGTCTTTTGAAAGGCATTTAGAGCCCGGCCATGATAGTAATGTTAAATGGAAGATCCGGTCTAGGAATGTGAGAATTTTGACTGTACAGGAGAAGAAAACCAACTATCCATAATCATTGTAACTTAAAGAATGGATTTCAGACTGATTACCCTTGGCTCTTCTTCAACCTCTTCTCCATCTCTAACTTCCAAGCACTTCCCTCACGTCCTAATTGATGTTCCCTTTTATTGCACAGCACTTTACAGGTTACTGGCAGTCTTCCTCTGCAGTATGCTGCCCCTTCTTTACCACAACATGATTAGGACCTTCAATTTGAGTTCCTCACCCCACTGGGAATTAGATCACTTCTGAGGAAGCTAGTCCCTGGAGAAAACCGATTGTCAGCATCCATTGATTGCCTGTAGCTTTTCATCTTTAGGTGGGACCCCCATGAAATTTCCCCCATCCTCCTTAGACCCATATCTATCTCCCTTCACAAAAATCAACTCCAAATGAAGCAAAGACCCTATCAGGCAATTTTCAAAGTCTTGGCCCAGGAATCCACATTAGTCAGGGAATAAGATAACCTGACATCAAAGAGTTGCAGCAGTTTCATGGTCCTTATTTGCATCACAGAGATTGTACAACTAGATGTGTCTTGCACAGGAGTTCAAGCTAACCTCCTAAAAGTCTACCCTACCTTGGACTGCCCACATGGTGTGAATTTCATGCCAGGAAATTTCACATGAAGAAACACCCTAAACTGTGAAAACATCATCTGAACTAATGGCTTTTAATTAACCCCTGCAAAACCATGTGCTCTTGGGTCTGATGATAAGGCATCTCCTAGGCAACTTCACTTTAGTATTCCACCCAAGAAGTTAATGAATGAATGTGTGTATGCCTGAGAATTAACATATCAAAGAGCTGCAAGCAGCACACTCATCCACTGGAAACAATGAAAGTTGGGAAATACGCTTGCCCTTGGATGAATGTGAACTAGGGACTGAAAGACCAGATCATCTATGAGGATTAAGTAGAGCCTAAACTGGAGAAACCATTTTGAATAAATTATGGGTGTGACCTGATTGAGAGACACAGTGGACAAAACAGGGATCCAGAGTCAGTTCTCTCAGCACAAGGTGGGGACACAGACAGCTCCATCTGCACAGGTGCAGGGGACAGCAAAGACCCATCAACACAGTTCTGTGAGACATCTGGGCAAATGGGTATCCTCTGGGTTCAGACCCAGGCTTAAGAACTTTTTTGAGAGGCTTTTGGAGGTTCTAGAAATGGCTCAGCTGTTAAGATCACGGACTGCTCTTTCAGAGGACCTGGGTCCGATTGAATCTCAGCACATGGAGGCTAACAACCATCCATAACTCCAGTTCCAGAGGATCTGACACCCTCTTCTCTCCTCTGTGTTCACTGCATGACACAGGTGCATTTACACAAATACAAGCATATTACTTATACAGATACAATAAAAATAAGTAAATAATTTAAAAAGTTTTTAAAATTCCAAGTCATTAATTAAAAATTAAACTTAAGGCAAACTTGAAAATAAAAGGATCAATAAAGATATACTCTAAAAATATCAGTAAAAGAAAGCTAATATTAGACTGTTAGTGATGATCAAAATAGACTTCAAAGGAATATAATATTACTATATATGTATATACATTAAGATTAAAATTGATCACTTTATCAGACAAATTGGCAGGACTAAACACATAAATTCAAAAATTCTTAGTGCTAAATAGACATTTAAGAATCTTTCAACCTTCAAATTTCAGAGATAAGGAAATATGCATAAATTTGTTTCATCAGCTTTCAACACTATGACCTTATCACCCTTTTTGTTATTGCAAAGTGAAAGGTCAACCAAGCTAATCATCTAAATAGGCCAAGAATCTGCCTCATGGTATTTCAGCTAATGAGTTACCAATGTCATGGACACGTGGTCTCTATACTTTCTCTCTCATCTCTATTCCCATCATCATCATCATCACCATCATCATCATCAAAATCTTATACAAAAGAATATAGTTCAATTGAGAATCAGACACACCCTTGGGTGGTGATAATGATCTCAGAATGAGTAGAAGTCATTTCTCCTTTCCACCTATGTAAGTATCAGCAGCCAATCTGGAACTCCTAGAAGGCAGATGTTGCTTGTGTGAATTGTCCTGTCTCAATGTTACTTCTTTCAAACCACCATCAGAGGCTACAGTTTCAAGTACAGTCATTCTTTACTTTCCAGCACCTGGTTTTTCAACATACTAAATCAAAGCTATGCTACATGATCTTGGCTTGCAACCATCTGCTCTTCTCAATAAACTCACAGATCATAAAGTTTGTAGGAACAGAGTAGGGCAGGTATGAATCTATGACAAGGAAGCAGCCTTGTGACATAAACTTACTACATAGTAAATATTGGAGGAATTACAAAGCTGTTTACTTTTACATAATTTGGGGAGGTACATATGTTTGGGGGTGATATAAAACCTTTGGACTTTTCTGAATAAAAATGCTCCCTTACATACACTTTTCAATAGTGTTTCACAGATCCTCTTTAACAATCTCTCTTGAACATTCTGAGAAAGTAGAAAACATTTGGGTTAGTATCTCTGGTCAAATTTACATCATGAGATTATTTTCCTTTTCACTTTCTCAAGCATATTTTGTTTTAGGTCTACATATGAAGCTCATGTAGTTCCTATCACTTCATCGTGTCCTCCAGCAGTACTTATTGAAACATGGTCCTGTTGATGGGAATGACAGTGTGGTTACTTTAAGGAATCTCAACATAGTCTAGAGCTAAATTTATCACATGTATCTGTTCTTTGTAAGTACTAACTGAAAGAAGAAATTATTACACCGAAAGGTAGCAAACTTGGGGAAAAGATGAGGCTTTGATTATCCATTAGATCAGCAGCAGCAGGTAGAGTCTGAGTCTCCAAACCTGGAACAGGGTGAACAAGAAGGTTTCAGGGGCTATTATTAAAGGTGAGAAAAAGGAATTTCCATTAAATCCATTGGTAGAAGCAAATGGATGTCATGAATACCAAGTTGAGCTCCTCCCTGAGTTGAGAACATGATCTTCATAGTCAAAATCCCTTGATTGGGGCATATCCAAGCTCTCCTTCCCTCACTGAACAAAGGGTCTCTGCTGTAGCTAAGGCATTACAGTGTTGGTAACACTGCTGTATGGAGACTGAAAGAAAACCCCATTCACAAAAATTTCAGATAACGGCTTGAAGGGAGGGATTACAAATCTGCAGAACTAAGTTTTACTGTTGCTTTTATGAAAGATGTTTGTGCCTTTCCTGTCCAACCATTCCTTATAGTTTTGGCTAGGGCTGAAAGATTGGCCCCACTTTGCCACACATCTCAATAAGTAAGGAAATTGCAATGCTCTTATAAATTAGATGATTATAAACACTGCCAAAGGTTGGTTAATTATATGGTATTTTCCTATAATACATAATTATCAACTAATAATAATGCCACCTGATGTTTTGTTAGTTCATCAAAGGGTTCTGAGCTTAAAAATTTTACTCAGGCACTGCATTTTCCTGGACCACCTGGCACTTAAGGAACCAAAATAGAATTTGTATTTTTTGATTTCATGGTTAGTGATTTTGCCACTATATTCAACAATGTTCTTAATATGAGAACATAACAGATGATACATTACTATGGCTAGGTGTCCTGACTTAGAGATGGGAAGCAAGCTTAGAGTTTTGCTATTTATAAGCTGTACAACTCAAGTGGGACATTTAATCTCTCTGAGATTCAATATCTGCTTCTATAAGAAGGATATTCTCTTTTGTGTTGGCTTTTTTTGTGTGTGAGACAGGGTCTTCCTAGAGCCCCAGGACTGAACTTGCTATAAAGACCGGAGTGGCCTTGATCTCACAGAGATCCACTTGCCTCTGCCTCCTGAACGCTCAGATTAAATGTGTGAGCCACTGTTGGCTAAGGAAAAATAGAAGAGATTATTTTATTATTATTATTTATTTATTTTATGTGTATGAGTGTACTGCCTGCATGTATGTGAGTGCACCCATGTCGTGCAACACTGAGGAGGTCAGAAGAGGGCTTTGGATTTCCCTGGAACTGGAGTTAAGGACGGGACAGTTCTTAGCCACCATATGGGTTCTAGGACTCGAACTCGGGTCCTCTGCAAGAGCATTCAGTGCTCTTAATCGCTGAGCCATCTCTCCAGCCCAGAAGACAGATTCTTAATATATGTTTCCTAATCTTGTTTATATAGGAATTAAGTGATTTTAAAGAGCCTAAGAAGAATGCCTGGCATGTAAGACTCCTGTTTATTAAATAAGTGACATAAAATACTATTGAGGAAACAGCAATTATCAACAACTAAACTTGATTGAGCTCATTTTTAGCTAAGCACTACAGCAAGAATTTCATAGAAATTATGCCTGCCTTAATTCATTTAGTCTAACTATAAACAATAGAAATATACTTTTCATAGTTATACAGGCTGCAAAGCCCAAGATAAGGTATTGTCAGATTTGGTGTCTTATGTGGTAAGGGACTCTTCCTTGTAAATAGGCTCAGAACCCACATGTAGTTAATTCTCCAGCTGCTCAAGGAAACCTATTGACACCAGGTTGGGCTATGTACCTTTGGGAAAACACTATGTCCTTGCCTGTGAGAAAGAGCAATGTTGAGGGAGTGAAATGGTAGATTGTGGGCAATGGTATGGTAACTGAAGTCAAGAGATAAAAGTTATCGTTTTGTGTGTGGTTTCATAGTAGAGAAGAAAAGAAGAATCCTTGAAGCCAAGACCATTAATCACATTCATTGTGATGGAACCCTCACAATAAATTACCAAAGTCCCTACCTTTAAATACTATCACATTGGATACTGGGTTCCAGCATGGAGACATCAGCATACAAACCATACCATGCTATTTAAGTTCACATCAATCTAAGAAGGTGAGCTTAATTATCATTCTATATTACACATGAAGAAATTTTGTCTTAGTAAGGAAATCTGGCTTTGGCTATGCAACTAATATTGGAATTATGATTTGTCAGTATCTAAAAGGAGGGTTCTTTACTGTAAAAGGCACTGTTGTGTCAATAAGTTCAAATAAACACCCTTAACAATGCTATCCATAGGAATTGCTTCAACCCTAATAGTCGTATGAATTACTTGTTCAGAACAGGACCATTAAAGCCCCGCCCCCCCCGAGACAGAATCAAGCATAGTGTCAAATATATTGGTACCTGAATCCTGTAGTTTCAACAGGGGAAGAGCAGGGTAGGTGTCTAGGGTAGATGGTCCATCTGGAAGAACACTCTCTG